AAAAAAAGATAAATAACAAAATATCCAGAGACGTCGGGCCTGATCTAACTTTTTGATTCGCGACACCTGTCTTTTGATCGGCCAATTTACGGTTGACACATGTTCCCATAACACGACACCGTTTCTGATCGGTTCAAACTTCAAAGTGGCGACTTAAAGGGACCCACAAAGCATGGCCAATTTTTTCACTGCCATTGCAATCATCCACTTCCAAGTGGTGTTGTTTTAGGTTTAATTTTGGTCGCATTTGTCCAATTAGTCAGCAGTAAGAGTAAGTGAAGTGATTGTCTGATTGAGTAATATATATATATATATACTATATGAGAAAAAATAAAATAAAAAATCAATGACTTTTTAGGTTTAATTTTGGGTTGCATTTGTCCAATCAGTTTCTACTTTGAAATGATGGAGTGGGCAGAGTATAAACAATATAAACAGTCACCTTATTCTAGCCACGAGTTAATATGCACATTAATTCATGTAGCGAAAAATTACAATACAATATAAGATTAAAAAATTACAAGATTTTAACATGTGACTGATAGATACATCTTAACGTGCTCGGAAACGAGCAACTTCTCAAAAAAAAAAATTATGTAATATTTATGTGCAATTTTGAAGAATAAGAAATGCAAAATCTGAATTCTATCCATAAATGGAAATACATATTTAGGGGGGTGTATTCAATTAGGACTTTTAATGACTTTTTAAGACTTTTGAAATTTGGGTGTATTCAATTGAAACTTTTTGAGACTCTCATAAAGTTTATATGTATTCAATTAAAACTTTCCCAGAGTTTCTATAAGTTACCCGTTATTCAAGTTAGAAGGATTTTATGAGACTTTTTAAATTAGAGGATTCTTGGAGACTTTTTTACCAAAAGTATTATAGAAAAATCACTTGTGGAAATCTCATCAAAATGGTGAGATTTTGTTGAACTTGAAAACTCTTCTCTCTGGGATTATTACAAGTTATTATCATACGTTTTTAGTTTTTCCTCTCCAGTGACACTTGTGAGTTATTAACACATAGATCTGATGTTGAGTTATATTAAACCAAAAAAAAAAGAAAAAGAAAAAACTCTTTGACCAAAATACATAGGTTGAATATATAGTACAATCAGAGTTGATAGTTGTGCATGTCTATTGCCTTCGTAAATAAATAAATAAATTTAAAAGAAAAAACTCCTTTATCAACAGCAAGATGGCTCATTGTTAGAAAAAAATCTCTGGAAAAAAAGTGACTTTTCATGCACAAACAAAATTATCTTTTAGGATTAATTTTTTTAGGAACTTATACAGTGCATGTTGTAATATTATAACCTTATGAATTCTGTATAAATTGGTTAACATTGTGTAATTTATCATCCAAGGTAACAGTTTTTAGGTTCATCACACGAAAATAAAAAAAGTTTAGGATAAAAAAAATGGACATCCGAATAGAGTAGTGAATTGCTTAGTATCATAAAGCATTTTAAAATAATATTATAATTTTTTTAATTACTAATGTGATTTTATTGGTAATAGTTACTATGCGCATTATATTTTATAAGCATTTCATACAAGTTTTAATTACTATAAGAATTATATTAAAGTCTAACAAAATCTCATAAAGTTCACATTGGAAGTCCATAAAAATTTTCTAAAAATCTCACAAAATCCACGAGAGTCACTAAAAGTTTCATAAAGTCTACAAAAGTCATCTATTTTAAAAAGTCTTAAAAAGTCTTTAAGAGTCGTAATTGAATACACCCCCCTTAGATTTTATACACTATCACTTTAAAATTATAGTATACTCATTAAAATTTATCACAATAATGTTCTTGCATAAATTCATTGAGTTGTGTCAATCCCATTTTTCTCCCCTCCTTTTGACACAACAATAACCTAATTTTCTCTACTCCTTTTGACCCAACAACATTACACTTGAAAACTATTTTACATCTCATTTTCTTCCCCTTCACTCAATTAAAGTTCTTCAATATTACACATTTTTTAATCAAGGGGCAGAAAGAAGTACTGTTGGTCCCCAAAAGGCTATGATAAAACAAATAACTCGCCAAACACAAGAATCAAAAACAAAAAACTACTATATACTAGTATATATACAACATTTCTCATGAAAAAAAAAAACAAAAAAAAAACAAATTTATTAAGCCTTATTTTCCAAAACTACCCTTCTTTCACCCTTTTACATTTCTATGCACCCACTAGAATATGCTTCTATTTACAAGCGCAAACTACATTATCTTATTTTCCAGAACTACCCTTATTTTATCCTTTTCACACATTACTATGTACCCTCTAGAATATGCTTCTATGTACAAAGCCCACACCTCACATCAAAAGCCAACTTTTTTATACAGTAGCTTATTATTAGTTATTAGTTTAGTTGCCCTTTCTGGACCTTTAATTACTCAATTACCCTCAATCGCAAGGCATCCCGTGGGGGCTCTATGGGGAATTCCCTTCCTCCGCTTGGCCGCCCGGTAGCTAACGGCGGTCGGAGGAGGCGTCGCCGGCCGGAAGTTGAGCCGCCGCCCGTCTGAGCTGCTGCTGCTGCTCATCGAGTCGCCGGAATCCGCCGCCCTTCTCTTATCCGGCGACCGGAGCTCCCTCCTGCTGAAACTCTTGGACGTCCCAACAATCTAATGATCAGA